GTTGGCCTCAGACCTAAATCTTTGTCTCTTTTCCCAAGTATTGGTATTCTTTGTCTTTCTCCTTGTCCTGTCAGCATTATCTCCATCTTCCACCCCTGTGGGCTAGGCATATTTGACATGGCAGCCATCTTCCCTTTTCTTTTCTTTCTTTTTTTTTTTTTTTTTTTTTTTTGAGATAGAGTCTCACTTTGCCCCCAGGCTGAAGTGCAGTGGTGCAATCTCGGCTCACTGCAGACTCCACCTCCTAAGTTCAAGCAATTCTCCTGCCTCAGCCTCCCAAGTAGCTGGGATTACAGGCGTCCACCACCATGCCTGGCTAATTTTTGTATTTTTAGTAGAGACAGGCTTTCACCATGTCAGCCAGGCTGGTCTCCAACTCCTGACCTCTGGTGATCCACCCACCTCAGCCTCCCAAAGCACTGGGATTACAGGCGTGAGCCACCGCGCCCGGTGCTAATAAGGTCTTTGAGGCGGAGAGTCAGACTTATAACAATTCCTACCCAAGCCTTCCTTGATGTGGCCAGCCTGGGGCCATATTCTTAGGGACCTCCCTTGTGGGTTGAAAAGGGAAACCTGGCCTATCTCCACAGGTCCTCACACAGTGGGATAGAAAGGAGAGGTCGAGATGACCATGGCATGGAACAGCCAGGGGATGCTTCCTGGAGGAAGGCAGTAAGTTAGGCCATCTACAAAAGAGAATTTGTATAGGAGGAAGGAGGTTGTTGTGGGCCAAATCCTTGAATCTCAGCCAAGGTGTGGAACTTGGATAAATACATACTGTGGAGAGAACCCCAGGAAGATGGGGAGATATCCTGAGCTGAGTCTTTATCTGGAGGAATGGGAGATGGATGGTGCCCTGGAAATGAAGGTGATGTTAGGCTAGGAGTTCTTGGACTTGAGTCTGTTGGTGCTTGCTGGTTGCCATTATAAACTCCTGGTCAGGAACATGACATCCTGTTGTGATTTAGGAAGATAAATGCATCTGGATGTATGGGATCGACTGGAAGGGGAAAATCTAGAAGCAGAGAGACCAGTTAAAAAAAAATAGCAAGCATTTATTATGTTGCCAAACCACTTTCCGTTCTTTGCTAGCTCATTGAATCTCAAAGCAACACTGTGAATTGGGTACTGTAATTATCTCCAAAATTTCACAGATAATTTGGTGCCCAGTGAGGTTCAAGGTAACCTACCAAGATCCAACTAGTAAGCTGGGGTGTCTAGACCACCTGATTCCAGAGCCCAAGCTTTTAACTGCCATATAGCACTGCCTTCTCCATTCAGAAAGGAGGAGACTGCTTTTTGACAGGGAAAATGGCATAGAGACCATGAAGAATGGAGAAGGGGTCATGGAAATAAAGCATGAGAGCAGGCCTGGGGGCAGGAGGAGTTCAGATTCCAGAGTAGCAAGTTTGGCTGATTGGGAGGCACTGCAGGTTTTTGAGAACAGGAGTGATAGAACGAAGAAAAATTACTGTACACCAGGTATGGTGGGCGCGTGACTATAGTACCAGCTACTTGGGAGGCTGAGGCAAGAGGATTGCCTGAGTCCAGGAGTTCTGGGCTATAGTGTGCTATGCTGATTGGGTGTCTGCACTAAGTGTGGCCCCAATATGGTGACCTCCTAGGAGCAGGGGACCAGCAGGTTGCCTAAGGAGGGGTGAACTGGCCCAGTTCAGAAATGGAGCAGGTCAAAAGTCCTATGCTGATCAATAGTGGGACTGCACTTGTGAATAGCCACTGCACTGCAGCCTGGGCAACATAGCGAGACCCCATCTCTTAAAAAAAAACAATAAGACAAAAATTACACCAGAGGCAGGGTCAGTGTGTTTGATCTCACCTACATGAGGGATAAGGTTGGGAGTTATGAAAAGAAGATCGTTATGAAAAGGAGATTGGAGCTGAGGGAGTAGGCCATAGGCAGTGCTCTCAGGTGAACAGGAGTACCCCACCCTGGCTCTCCTAACATTTCTTCTTATTCCTTCTGTAGCCATCGTCAGCCAGTGGCAGCAGGAGTCCAAAGAGAAGGTGGTGTCCCTCCTGCTGTCCCACCTTCCCCTGCTTCAGCCAGGCAACACAGAGGCCAAGTCGGAGTACATGAGGCTACTGCAAAAAGTGCTGGCCTACTCAATCGAGAGCAATGCCTTCATCGAGGAGAGCCGCCAGCTGCTTTCCTATGCCCTCATCCACCCAGCCACCACACTGGAGGACCGCAACGCACTGGCCCTCTGGCTGAGCCACCTGGAAGAGCGGTTGGCTAGTGGCTTCCGCTCCCGGCCAGAGCCCTCCTACCATTCACGCCAAGGCTCAGATGAGTGGGGAAGCCCTGCAGAGCTGGGCCCTGGGGAGGCAGGGCCAGGCTGGCAGGACAAGCCACCCCGGGAAAATGGACACGTGCCCTTCCACCCGTCCAGCTCAGTGCCGCCAGCCATCAACAGTATTGGGAGCAATGCAAACACAGGTAAGTAGTCTTTACTAGGAGCTATTTTAAGAACATTATACATATAAACTCAAGATTCAAAGCGAGGCAGTCTGGCTGTAGAGCTCATACTCTGAACTACTATGCTATACTACGTCCACCAAAAAGTATCCCTCCTGGAGATGCTCAGCCCTCACGAAGGGGAGGGGCCACCCATTCAGGGTGCCTATAAATTTCTCTCTCTTCATACCTTCTGTGCTCCCCATCGTGGGGACCTCAGCAGCCATTAAAGGACCAAGATTGAACAGTGTTGATAGAAGTTTGGACCAAAAGAGGAAAAGGAATTGGGCATTCCAAGTAGAAGGCACAGCATGAAATAAGCACAGGGGTGGAACATTAGAGAGGACAGTATACAGACGGATCTGACTGGGGCGGATTTGAATGAGTAATAAGAGTAGCAGAGACTTGTGCTTACTGTGTGCCTATCCCTCTGCTAAGGACTTCATGCGGAAAGGGAGGCAGAGAGGCAAAAAAAGTGACTTGCCCAAGATCACACAGAGGCGACAGAGTCAGCATCAGGATTTGAACTCAGGCCTGTCTTTACCCTCAGACCTCAGTGTGTGAAGGCCACATTCTGGGGGGCATTGAAGGACAGGAGAAGCTTTTGGATTCCAGGCAGTTGCAGGAAACAGGAAATCATTAAAATATTTTTGACTGGGGAGCAAGGATTGGCCTTTGAGGGCAGGCAGCTTGGGTTTGGGGTGCTGCCAAAAACAGATCAGGATTTCTTGGAGAGTGCAAGGCCTTGGAACTCCGGCTGGCATTCTTGTTTTTGTCATTCTCATGCTGTGGCCAGCCTCCACCCCAGTGCAGAGCCAAGCAGGGCTCCTCAGGAACTGCACGATCATTCCAGTCAGGGTAATTTCCTGCCTCTCAGCCTCGCCTGCCCACTTCTTGGCTGAGAAGGGAGAAAGAAGGAGGCCAGAGACACCAAAACAGGCAAAAAGGCCTGTCTTGAGGATTCCCCAGTCCCCCAGGGCCCAGAGTGTGCCATGTTCCCCAGGAGTGCTGAGTGGGGACAGAAGCCAGGGCTGAGGGAGTCTAGAGGCTGAAGAACTCCTGGAAAGAGGGCCCCGATACTCTGGGGTAGGGCAGAAACTTATTAGGGGTGGGCCACTGCCTTGCCCTGTCCCTCAGGTGACTTCCTAGCCAGGAGCATCAGTGTTGTCACAGCTGAGGGAAGATGCTCTGGGGCCTGCAGCAGGCTAGATCTCCTTCCTGTGCTGGGTGTCACTGTAGCACTGGCAGGAACCCCAGCCTTTCCATCAGAAACAAGGCTTGGGCTCTGTCTCAGCCTGTCAACTCCCGTGGGAACTGGGGCAAAGGGCTTCAGCTCCCTGGGCCTTGGTGTCCTCACCTACCCAGGGTGAGGCTCGTTGGCTTTGTTTCATTTCTTTTGGCTAGGCTGACTTGGGGTACTTCTGGATGTCATAGGTGGAGCCCACAGGCCCTCTTAGCACCCTTTTGTCCTTTATCAAATCATCAAACTTCATTGGAAGGACTTCTGTGTGTCATGCTCTGTGCCTGATCATGGGATTGCAGAAGTAATTGGGCTGGGCTGCCATTCTCCATGGACCCACAGTCCAGTGCAAGAGGGAGGCTAGCGAGAAGGGCAGCAAGCGCCAGGCCTGAGGCAGCAGCAGAGGGGTACGTGACCAAGGCATGAAGGGAGAAGTGGTTGATGGAGAAGAGTTGGAGAGGTGAGCAAGGCAGAGGGAAAAGCACAGATAAAGGTCTGGGAGCTCATGGGAACCTGCCCTGTCTTGGGAGTGGTTAAAAATCATGTTGGAGGCCGGGAGTGGTGGCTCACACATGTAATCTCAGCACTGGGAGGCCGAGGCGGGTGGATCACCTGAGGTCGGGAGTTCAAGACCAGCCTAAGCAACATGGAGAAACCCCCGTCTCTACTAAAAAAATACAAAATTAGCCAGGCGTAGTGGTGGGTGCCTGTAATCCCAGCTACTTGGGAGGCTGAGGCAGGAGAATCGCTTGAATCCGGGAGGCAGAGGTTGCAGTGAGTCGAGATCACGCCACTGCACTCCAGCCTGGCGACAGAGCAAGACTCTATCTCAAAAAAATTAAAAATATATATATATATATATACACACACACACACATATATATGTACATATACACACACGCACATATATAAAAACACACACACACCCCTATATATATATATATATTAGCCAAGCGTGGTGGTGGGCACCTGTAGTCCCAGCTACTCGCGAGGCTGAGGCAGGGAGAATTGCTTGAACCTGGGAGGCAGAGGTTGCAGTGGGCCAAGATCACACTGTTGTACTCCAGCCTGGGCGACAGAGCAAAACTCCATCTCAAAAAAAAAGATCAAGTTGGATTCCTTTGCCAACCTCAGACTTGGGATGCACAGAGGGTGTGGAGCATGCTGCAGAAGAGGACCTGGGATCACTCTGAGTCTCCAGGCCTCGTGAGGGGCCAGTTTGGGCTCACTGCAGGAAAAAAAATGGGAGGTAGTGAGGCCCCATAACGGGGTTGTTGAGGAAGCAGCTTACGTACTTCCTTTGTTACAAGATACAATGATGTTTAAGATGGGACAGGTTCCTGCTATCATAGGTCTTCTATTCTAGCAGGGGGTACAGTTAATAAGGAAACAAACCAGCTCACGCCTGTAATCCTAGCACTTTGGGAGGCCGAGGTGGGCGGATCACGAGGTCAGGAGATGGAGACTGTCCTGGCCAACATGGTGAAACCCTGCCTCTACTAAAATACAAAAAAATTAGCTGAGCGTGGTGGCAGGCATCTGTAGTCCCAGCTACTCAGGAGGCTAAGGCAGGGGAATTGCTTGAACCCGGGAGGCGGAGGTTGCAGTGAGCCAAGATCGCACCACTACGCTCCAGCCTAGTGACAAGAGCGAGACTCCATCTCAAAAAAGTAAATAAATAAATTTTGTAGAAAGTAAACAAATAACTTGATAATTTCAGGTTGTGATAGGTGCTGTGAGAAAGACAAGACAGTAATATGATAGAGTGACTGGAATTGGGGCAGCAGAGGTGGGCAGTGACTTCAGATTAAGGGTTTAAGGGTAGGCTTCAGAGGAGGTGAGACTTGAGGGAGCCACCCGTTAAGATCAAGAAAGTAAGAAGAAAGAGCGAGTCTAGAAGTCCTGAGGCTGGAACAGCCTTGAGTGTTTCAGGAACAAAGGGGAGTTTGGGAGGAGTTGAAGGCTAGAGAGGCATGAACCAGGTGGTGGGTTGTGGGAGGGGAGAGTTAGAGAGGAGCAGGGACCAGGTCTTGCATGGCCTTTTAGGCATGTGAAAGCATTTGTATTTTGTTCCCCCTATGAAAGGAAGTCACAGGGAGTTGAGCAGGAGTCAAGTTCGGTCACATTTGCATTTTTAGAAGGATCTTTATGGCTGCTGTGAGGGGCGTGGACTATAGGAGGCAAGAATGAAGGCAGGAAACCAGTAAGGAGGCTATGGCAGTAATTCCTGCCAGGGGCACTGGTGGCTTGAGCCAGTGGAACTGGAGAATTTCAGGAAAGTGGCTGACAGCTTGCTGATGGGTTGGGTGTTGGAGGTAAGAGAATGAGGTATATCTGGTAGGTAGCTCCCCTTGGACCCCAGGTCCCTTCCTCTTGGCAGATTACGGGGCCAAACTGCCATCCTGGCACTGACGGCAGGGGGATGGTCTCCTGTGGTTGGGTCCCCAGCCTAATTTTTTGCTTTTCTCCCACTCTGGCCAGGTCTCCCCTGCCAAATCCACCCTAGCCCGCTGAAGCGCTCCATGTCACTCATCCCTACAAGCCCCCAGGTCCCTGGTGAGTGGCCGAGTCCAGAGGAGCTTGGGGCCCGGGCTGCTTTTACCACGCCCGATCACGCACCCCTCTCGCCCCAGAGCAGCGTGGCCTCCTCTGGCAGTGAGCAGACAGAGGAGCAGGGCTCCAGCCGGAACACTTTCCAGGAGGATGGCAGTGGCATGAAAGGTACACCGGGGACAGCAGCACCAAGACCCTTTTCCAGGGGCTTCTGCAGAGCTTAGAGGACAGAAAGGAGCTGTAGCTGACGCCTGCCTACCCCTCTGAGGAGGGGACATGTCTGAAGGGAGTAGATAGTCCCTGCTTTTAGGGCTCAAGACTAAGCAGACAGACCCCACATCTACCCTAACAAGTTCTGCTCTGACTGGGGAGGAGCCCCATCTTCGCACACCCCAGTCTGACAAGGAAGTCAGAACACAGCTAACTGATGGAACACAGGTTCCAGGAAGAGTTTTGGAGCAATCAGTGAGGTCATTGTGGTATACATCCAGCCGAGCAGCTCAGAACGGTCAGATGTCCTTCCTAGGGAAGGCTGCCTGAGAGGGTCTGGCTAGGCAGATGAAGAAGGAGCTGATGGAATCTTAGCTCCCCGCAACCCCCTCCCAATTTTTTCCATCTTTTGAGGCTTCCTGTGGGTTTAGCCCCACAACTTTTCCTTTACCCTAGTCATCAGGGCCAAACTCGTGACCTTTCACTCTCCCTCCTTTTCCAAAGATGTGCCCTCATGGCTCAAGAGCCTCCGCTTGCACAAGTATGCAGCCCTCTTCTCACAGATGAGCTACGAGGAGATGATGACACTGACTGAGCAGCACCTGGAGTCTCAGGTGAAGCCAAGGGGACCATCAGGGAGGTGTTGGGGGCAGCGCTATTTTGCATTCCTTGCAGCCCAAGCCTCCTCTATCTCCTTGATCTCTATTTGGGTACCTGCAAATATCTCAGCCTCCCATCTCTAGCTTCCTGTCCCCTTCTGCCCTTGTCACAGAATGTCACCAAAGGTGCCCGCCACAAGATAGCCCTGAGTATCCAGAAGCTGCGTGAGAGACAGAGCGTCCTCAAGTCCCTAGAGAAGGTGAGAACTTGGTATCTGCATCTTCAAGGCCAGCCAGCCACTTGGCGGTACCAGTAGACCACAGGCCCTGAGTTGGCCTCCCGAATCCTCGGGTCTGGCCTCTAATAGCCCCAGCCCTAGGGACCCAGACTCCAGGGACCACATGCAAGCTGGCATCAAAAGGCTCACTTGCTGGTAGCTAAGAGGCTCCCCTCCCTGTCTGTCTTGGTGGTTCTAGAATCTGTCTTTTGACTCTACACCTTCTCTCCACTTTTGCTTTTCCATTTCTTGCTGGTCTTTCTGGCAGAGCAGAGTGTCTCTGTCTGTACAATCTCTCTTTCCATTTGATTGTTTCTAAACTCATTTTCCTTCCACATCTGATTTGATTTGATCTGATTGATTTGTGTTCCTCATTCCCTTTCCTTGCCACTGCCTTCTGTTTGTATTTTTCCCTGCTCAGTATCTAGATCTGAATCTCTGATTCTATCCTTGGTGGGTCCCGAAGACTCCAACATTAGACTGGCTTTTCGTAAGTTTTGTAGGACTTCACCTTCATGGGAAAGAGGAAATGTTTGTGGGCTTGCAGTACCCTTACATGCCTTCTCTATGTGCTGGAACCCAGGGTCCTACCCAGTCTTCTGCAAGCTGTGTCTGACTTTCTGTGTAGATACTCTTTGTCTCTCATTATAGGGTCTGCATGTGACCCCAGCCTATGTCCTCCCATGCAGGATGTACTGGAAGGCGGGAACCTGAGAAACGCTCTGCAGGAGCTGCAGCAGATCATCATCACTCCCATCAAGGCCTACAGTGTCCTCCAGGCCACCGTGGCTGCCGCCGCCACCACCCCTACTGCCAAGGATGGGGCCCCGGGGGAGCCATCACTGCCAGGTGCTGAGCCTCCCCTAGCCCACCCCGGCACTGACAAGGGCACCGAGGCCAAGGACCCTCCAGCTGCGGAGAACTACCCACCTCCACCAGCTCCCGCTCCCACCGATGGCAGTGAGCCTGCCCCGGCTCCCGTCGCTGACGGAGACATCCCCAGCCAGTTTACACGGGTGATGGGCAAAGGTGAGACCAGCCACAGCCTAGCAGGAAATCCTGAGGCAGAAAGCCAAGTGAACTCAAGCACCAGGGATCAAATCCAAGTTAGATGTTGGGAGCAGGGCTTTATAAAGCCTGCTGGAGACTGGAACACTACAGAGAGTAGCCGAGACAGGGTGACAAGGCCCCTTGCCCTTGGGCATGTCCAGGCTAATGGTGGATAACAGCCCTTCCCCTCAAAGTGTCTCCAGGCTGAGCAGAAATGAGGCAGTGTGTCAAAAGAAATTCCATGTAGTAAAGGGTGAGCAGTTGAGGGGAGTCCATTGATTTCTCTCAGAGGGGACCGAAGTCCAGGGGATGGGGATGGTGAAATTTATCACAGCTTCAGCCTTTCCTAAAGCAGCATGACGTAGCAGACTTTACGCTTGGATCCAGATTGATCTGGATCTGAATCTGGACCTGGGGCAAGTGACTCAACTCTGAGCTTTAGGTTTCTCAGGCTAAAAATGTCTGTAGTGACAAGATTGTGTAAGGCACTATGTTGTATATCCTCATGATAACCTAAATACCATGGCTGGCACTTAATAGTTGGTACTTATCCAGCCTGAGTCTCCTGTTCCTTCTTGTGCACGAGCCAGCTGGAGGCTGGAACATGGCAGAGGGCATACTAGGGGCTAACCTGCCCTTTCTCACGTCCCCCAGTGTGCACCCAGCTGCTGGTGTCCCGACCAGACGAGGAGAACATCACCAGTTACCTCCAGCTCATCGAAAAGTGCCTGACTCATGAGGTAAGGCCTTCTGTAGCATGCTCAAAAAGGGAAAGGTGGCCAGGTGTGGTGGCTCACGCCTGTAATCCCAGCACTTTGGGAGGCCGAGGCGGGCGGATCATGAGGTCAGGAGATCGAGACCATCCTGGCCAACACAGTGAAACCCGGTCTTTACTAAAAATACGAAAAATTAGCCAGGCGTGGTGGCGGGTGCCTGTAGTCCCAGCTACTCGGGAGGCTGAGGCAGGAGGATGGCGTGAACCCGGGAGGCAGAGCTTACCGAGATGGTGTCACTGCACTCCAGCCTGGGCAACAGAGTGAGACTCTGTCTCAAAAAAAAAAAGAAAAAAGGAAAGGCTGCCCCATCATTCTCAAGACCATTGTGTTGTATGTGGCCCACAGGGCCTTGCCTGACCTGGTACATATATGCCAGCCCTTCCAGTCTTGTATCTTTCCAGTGTTGGCTTTAGAGGCTTCTTCTCAGAACCCTTGTACACACTCTTCCTCTTTTTTTATTTTTTTTTTTTTTTTGTGAACTGCCTCAAATCTTTTTGGAATAAGGCAACGCAGACATAAAAATTTAAAATATTTTTTTTGTTGTTAATGGAGACGAGGTCTCACACTGTTGGCCTGGCTGGTTTTGAACTGACCTCAAGTGATCCTCCCACCTCAACCTCCCAAAGTGCTGAGATTACAGGTGTGACAATTTTCTTTTTTAGAGATGGAGTATTGCTTTATTGCCTAGGCTGGTGTCGAACTCCTGGCCTCAAGTGATCCCCCTGCCCTGGCCTCCCAAAGTACTGGGATTATAGGCATGAGCAACCATGCCCAGCCCGTACATACTCTTTATCAGGAACAGTGTTCCTTCCTCCTCTAGCTATCAGTTCAAAACGTTTATACCTCAGGGACACCTTTACCAACCCCTCATTTTTATTTAGGTTTCTTTTGCTTCCTGTTCTTCTCCCTCAGGGAGGGATAATTTGTCACAGTTACCATTATGTATGTATCTTTCCCTCACAGCCAGACTGTAAGCTCTCTGGGCATGGTCACCTCTGCATCCCAGAATTGCTTGGCACAGGCACAGAGTAGATGAGCAATAAATCTTTTTTTTTTTTTTTGAAACAGAGTCTCACTCTGTTGCCCAGGCTGGAGTGCAGTGGCACGATCTTGGCTCACTGCAACCTCCGCCTCCCAGGTTCAAGT